ATTGCATTCTGTAGCAAAATTTTAGTTTGCTACGGATGTGTTTTTATGTATATGTGCTGGATCACCATTATACATTTTAATTGTTTAAAAGAATGAAGTAATTTCAATTAGATAAATAAGGGGGAAAATCCCTGAATTCGCGTGCACTCTGTTTCAGTAGAATTTCATTCCTTCTTCGTCTCCTTCAGCTGAAGAACTCCATTGTATTCAGTTCGAAAAATCGATTAAGCTATTGAAGGTACTATAGAAACAAGCGAGACAAATTTGATTTCAGAGATAGCAACAAGAGGTAATTTCATGATGAAAATATACTCTGATTTTATTTTTTTCTGGTCAAAAATGGTGTTCAAAATCAGATTTCATTTTGAGCTTTCATCAATTTCAGTTGAATATATATTGAGATGTGTATATTTTTTTATATAATAGATTTGAATAGTTAATTTGAAATCTAGAAAATTTTGTGATAAATTTGTTGATAATTTTAAATTTGTGATCTGAGATTCGCTAATTTCACAATAATTTGTGTTTTGAATTGTATATATGATCTGAGATTGTTTGATTTCGTATATGAAACTATCATGTGTTCATTTTATACAATACATCTTCATCCTATTTTTAGATATTCATAATATATATAAGTATATGAAATGTTGATTATTTATACGAATTTGTAAGTTATATACATATACCTATTTAGTGTTTTTTGTAAATTGTATAAGTATTTGAAATTGTTGACTGTTTATTGAAATTTGTAAGTTATATACATATACCTATTTAGCGTTTTTGGTGAATGGTATAAGTATATGAAATTGTTGAATGTTTATACGAATTTGTAAATTATATACATATACCTATTTAGTGTTTTTGATGAATTGTATATAAGTATATGAAATTGTTGAATGTTTATACGAATTTGTAAGTTATATGCATATACCTATTTAGTGTTTTTGGTGAATTATATAAGTATATGAAACTGTTGATTGTCTATACGAATTTGTATATTTATACAGTGCGGATTATCCTGTGTATTTATTTGTAATAAGTATATGAATATGTAAATTATTTTAGGTTTGTAAATTGTATATTTGTAGAAATTAAAGTTTTAATTTGCGTATATAAAGGTTTCTATGAGTATATAATTTTAAAATGTGTATAAGTGAAAAACTGAAGTTGCTATAATTTGTATAAATATATGCTATGTTTGTTGTTGAAATTCTTAAACTTATAGATGTATATGAATATTATTTAATTTTTTATACGTTTCATTAGCTATTTTTGTTATGCATTCTAGTATATGGGACAATGACAACTGTTATATTGATTATACAATTGAGGGAATTATTTTTATAGAAAGTTCATCATATAATGAGTTGTATAATGTCATTGCAATGCAACTAGAAATTGATACAAATGTGATTAAAATCAAATTGAGTATAAGGTTGAAGAAAGCAACACACCCATGTTGATTCATAACGACATAGGTGTTAGAGTTTATATCATGCTTAAAAAAGCTAGATATGAGTTTAACAAGTATCCACTTTGTATAAGCAAACTAGATGATAGTAGCAGTGTCAATGAACTGTGTGAAGTTCAAATCAGGAGAGCGGTATAGTTACATCTATTTGCAACGATAATATTGCTGAATTTGAGACTGGGCAAATGATAATTGGTGTGTTGGTAGAGTCACTTTATATTTTTGGGTTAGGGAGCTGCAATGGAGTCATTTCAGATCCTTGTAATAAGTATGTAGAGGTTGACCAAGTGTATAAGAACAAAACCACTTTAAAATATATGATGGAAAAATATGCAATTGACAAAAGATTTCAATATAGAACTGTGAGGTCAAACTCAATCAGCTAACTGGTTTATACATACAAATACATAATTGTATATGTTGTTTTAGTTATTCGTACATTGATGTGTTGTGTTGTTTTTGCTGATGTAATTATACGCTGGAGTGTATTTCTGATGAATGTGAATGAATAATGAAAGCATCCAATATCAACAATTCTGGTATGTTTATAATAAGAGCATTTAATACATATTATACTTGTCCTTTGAAGGATAAAATGTATTCACAAAAACATGTCACATGCATGCTGATTTGGGGGGTCACTAAGCCTAAACTTGGTGATCACAAGAGAAAATATACATTTTCTGATATTCGAGTGATGTAAAGATATATTTGGGAGTTGATGTAAATTAATTGTTGGCTTGGAGGGCTAAAGAAAAGGCTCTAGTTTCGTTAAGGGGCACCACAACTGCATCCTAAAATAAACTTCCAACATACTTGTATATGATGGATATTACATATCCAAGCTCGTATATATGTCAAAAGAAAATAGACAAAAATGAGTTCTTATATGTTTTGATTGCGTTGAATAGTTTTATACAAGACTTTGAACATTGCAGGCCTGTCATACACTACAAAAAAATAGCATTTAGCGACTGATGAAAGTTATCGCTAAAATATGGTATTTTTCGTCGCTAAATCAGATTTGCGATGAATTGTTGGTTGTTACTATTTCGCTCGTTAGTAATCACTTAGCGACAAAAAATGAGTTCCGTCCCAAGTTTAGCGACGTATTAGAGACAAATGATATTCGTCCCCACTTGTTAGTGACAAATTGATTCATCTTTATACTTATATAGTTCGTTGTTAATTTCATAATTAATTTCGTCATTTCAAATATATGCGCGACATATTTCTTTCATAAACCCGTCACAAAATATTCTGTTATTTGATTCCGAACTTTTTTCACTTAAATATTTCGTCGCTAATCCTTTGCCAATATTTTTTTTATAGTAACGACGAAATCGTCATTAAATTTATTGTTAATTTTTTTTGTAAAATAATTTTATTTATTTATTTTAAATATACATTACTGAAATAAATTAAATAAATGTAATAACAATTACTAAATACCTCTAAAACAAGAAATAGTCATATAGAATAATTCTTAGACGGTTCAAAATTTGTAGATAGCATAATCCAAATCACATATTTTCGGAGCAAAACATTAAAATCAATCTATCAACTATTCTAATTAAGAGAACCTATGTTCATCAACTTTGGATCATATTGAGACGATTTTCCCCGTAATATTTCTTCATATTTTTCCTATAAATAGAGACGAAGAGAAATCATTAAAGATTAGGAACAAAATTATAATTTAAGGAAAATGTAGTAACATACATGACCTTTTAGATTAATTAAATGTACTATATTTTTTTAGCTAACTTATATTAAATTTAGTATTAGATTAAAATCAATGAGTTGATGACTATGTACAACAACATAGTATTCGAGAATACATGCCATAAGTCTATAACCCTACAACTATACATTAGTTCCCAACAAACACATGAGGAGACAAGTTAGAAAGTAGATATGGACCTAAACTAAAACTTAATCAATGATCCAATAAGGGAAAAAATATTTTTGAGTCATTTATAATATGTTGAGGATAATTTTGATCCTTTTTTGTTGTGCAAAACTAGATAGAAAAAAATAAACACACTGTAATTGACACCTCAAAGTTCAGAAAATCTTGGATGAATTTCAAATGTTTCAAGACCAAACATATGCAATTCATATAAATGTCATGAAAAATATAGCTACCTGATCAAATTTATTGCTATGATCTATAACAGACACTTTATACCATAACTCCTTTCCAGAAAATTATAAACAATTCAATATAGAAACAATAAGTCGCAACAAGTATCATCCTAACGTAAACTACACAAAAGCATATGCATGAAACTCTAAGATTGTTTTGTTATGTTCTGTTTTTGTTGCCCTTTCTCGATTTTGCTGAATCGTTACTAGCACCATCCTCTTGGCTAAACTAAATGAAAATATGAATTATAAATGAGGGAAAAGGTTGCAGTCCATAGGAAAGTCAAAATTACAAGAGGCCTCTACATAAGGAACTACTTCTCGCAAGTAGGACAAGCAACCTCAATTTTCATAATACTACCATAGAAAAGGTAAAACTTACTTCATATGTCATTTGATCATGAATTAAGACATAGAGAGAGTAGATTGCCTACATCATCAACGAAATACTATATGAATCTGTTTGAGAAAGAACTAAAAAATAGTTCTCACAAAGCTAGATAAAAACTTTCATCTTCAATAGATAGATTAGGAATAGAATGTTTGTTTTGCAAACTAGTACTTGAAATACCTGAAATAATAGCATTGATGACCTTATTAACAATCACCAGATTTTGTTGTCATGTTCTAGGTTACAATAACAAGGCCACATGAAGAGACGACTTAGAGTAAGGATGGATGGAAAAGTATAGGTAAAAACAAAAAGAATGGAAAGTTATTTTACTTTATATTCTAGGTGGTCATGTCCCACCTTCTAGATTTTGTTTCAAAAAAATCACCATTAACTTTTTTGTACCACTTTTTTTCCTTAGTCTTCTTTTGAGAAAATTCTTCCTCTTCATACTTATCTTGATAATTACTTTTGCATTTCTCTAAATTGTACAAATTTAAATTAGTATGATGGAAAACTCCTCATTGAAGATAGACAAAAGAGTTATGTTCTTCTTACTTAACGATGATAGTCAAGGATTAACTTGATTAAAAGGACTCAAACTGTGATTAAAACATTCCAACTTAAGAAGACAGATCAGTTTAGAGTTAACAAATTACATAAATCTCACGCACACAGCAGGTTCACAATTCAGTAAGCTAAGACAAAAAAAAAGAAGAAGTCAAACAAGAATTAGAGAGGTAGATTTTAGGGAGCAAAATTACTTTGGCAGATTCACACTACTACCAATTAGGCAAAGTGATAACAAAAATCATCAATACAAATCGATAAGCATTTCAAAACTTGAAACAAAGAAAAACAGTACAGGTAATGAGAGTAACAACAATAGCTTAATATAAATTTGAAAGCAGAGATAAATAAACCATCAAGGCTACATGTTAACATTACTAAAGTTTACTTGTAGCTTGTTGGACAACAAATCTGATAGTGATTTGCCAAACACAATAGTAGGTTCTTCTCTCTTGTGGAAATTGGTCCTATAGTTACTCTATTAGCTTTCAAACTTGTGGTTTATTGTGTAGGTTCTGATGAAGAACTCAGACATTCATTATGTCAATTTGACAGTACAATCTACTACTGATTTACTTAAGAAGATACAATAGAATACTAAATTTTCAACGAGTAAGAACTATTTTACATTGCAGATTCGAGAACAAAGCTCTAGTCAAGCCTCACTTTGTAGTAAAAAAGGAGAAAAAAATACTCATATCGGGAGCGTCATCAACAAAAGATGTATATCTTCGTTTTCAACCAAGTTTCCCCTTCTAATGTGAAATGACATGTATATTTTCAGATAGATTTCAAAGTTTTGGAATTACATGGAGAATTCGAGAGTGCTCATCAAAAAAAAACTTTTCATCATGACCATGTGTATGGACGTTCAAATGTAACTCGCTTAGTCTTGGATTTTGAACCTTTTCAATAGCCTATACAAAAGAAAATCACTTTTTAGATACAATAATATTTATTGTGTAATGTGTGTTTAGATACAAGTGCATATATTAGACAACCTAAATATGGTACTTATATAATTTAAAAAAATATATACTTACAAATTTCTTACGATATAACTCAAAATGAGATAGAGCCACCCGTATGAGTCTCATAAGCAACTTCACGGCCACCAACACAATGATGCACTTGAAATAATAATTTCTCTTTATACACCTAAATGCACCAGCTTCAATGTGAACTAAAAAAGGGGAAAGGGGGTTATAAAAGAGACAAATATAAAGAGAATAATACGTAGTTAAGGAAATCAAGGAGAATGACAATGGATAAAAAACACATTGATCTTTAATGGATATTATAGAAATGCCACAAAATTGTACAAAGCAAACGTACATATCCTTTTGAACTACTCTAATTGCTTCATTTGATTTAAAACTACCATATTTATAAGTTCCACCTGGAAAAAAAAAGCAAGCAAATCACACACCAAGTAATGTACAAATATTTTTACCACTTGCCAAAAACATAAAATAGATTAATATTGCAGTGATACAACTTCTTGAGGAAAATTTAAATCCACATATAAGACATATTTTGATTGCTTACTATCTCTCACAAACGTCAAGAGGTGACATCTGACTTGAGTTAAAGAAATTCAATTTAAGCTTACATAGATTACTTGTTTTGGACCAATTTCTTTAATATATCTTTCAAGAAACACATAAAATCAAATTACATAAGAATTCTTGTCATTCTATTACTTTCAGCTTTTAGTGTTTCAATAAAAAAATATGATAAGAATGTTTTATTTAGAAAATATTGAAGGAAAGGGTTTCTTCACCTAAAATCCTGATAAGAGCTCCTATGACGAAATTGTTGTTGTGTTCTCCTTAGCTTTTGTTCTTATGTGAAATTAGATTGTGTTTTGTTTACTTGTTTAAATTTCTCCACTTCCTTGAAATGTTTCAACTGTGAAATTAAATGTAGATGTATACTCTTAACTCTTAGCAGGACAAATATATTGTAACTAACTCCTAGATCTAGATATACAGGTCATGGTAAAAGAGAGTACTTGTTGATGTCGGATGAGGCCTTTATGAGGCAGTGAGACTTCAGGTCCTGGAGAACAACATCACAACTAGTGTCGATCCTCTTTCCTAAAATTTAAGGTAATCAACTTTTCGCTACTTCTTGTGCTACCCTTCTTGTAAAAACTTTCAAGCTTTTGAGGTTCCTAATAAATGTAGTTTCTGAATTTTCAGATTTTGTTAAATAAAGTTTTGAGTATGTGGTGCTATTGTTTATACTGTATTTACAATTTTTATATAATTTTTTAGGCAATTGATTTATAATATATTTTTGTTTAATTCAAAAATTTGTGATAATCTTGTGAAACTCCATTCGAGTATGTTGCTTTGTTATCCTAATTACTAGTATGTATGAATGATAAAATACCACCAATGGTTTACACTTTTAGTTACTTTCTTATTAGATATCAAGATCTTTTATGTCTTAGTAAGAACTTAAAATTTATAGATGAAGCATCAGTTTTTTTTAGACCTAAACTGAAAATCTTTTACAAGATTTGATAATGGGAAAAGTAAGAATAATTTCATCGATAAGAAGGAGAAATAGAACACTTACCAAATGTCCATGTCTTTCTTCAAGTTTTACGTACCAGATTGTATACCTTCAAAAGAAAGGCAAATCAAAGGAAAATGTATGAGATGAAGTCCGTGAAAAGGAAAACAACAACCTAAATGAAAATTAGCTCACCAAATCGATCGACGCTTGACTTCCCCAAAATGTTTGTTATTTACTCGTAGATGAAGGAGACGAAATCAATACTTTGAGAACTACATCTTGGCCTAAATATTTTGGGACACGAAAGTAGTAGTTTGCTAGAACATCTTCACCTGAGACAGAAGCTTGAAAAGAGTTGGTGCTTTTCAGAAAATCCTATTTTCTAGGGAGATGTTTGTAAAGAGGAGAAAATTAAAGAAAGGTACTCTTTTAAGTCTTGAATTAACTATTGGTTACAATGTTGACCAAAAACACGTCAAAGCACTTAAATAGTTGATTAAGTTAATTTAGGACTCAATTAATATTTTCAAAACTTATATTTTTTTAAAAAATACAAAAAAATAACCCACACATTAAATAAAAAAACTTTTCACTCCCTCTCTCTCCTCAAACAATTCTCCTCTTTCAGCTGCACAACAAAAAAATTTCAAAATTCAAATTGCTTCGTTCTTTCAACCAGTTTCTCCGACAACTTTCAACTTCTGATGCGTAACTTTTAAGCTTCCAATTCAAATATTCTAACCAATCAAGAGAATATCGATTTGCGGGTAAAGCTTTGTTTTTTTGAAAAAAAAAGATTTTTAATTCATTTATTTTAAAGAAATATTGGAATAAAAAAATCGTTGTAGGTGTTTTCCGTTAAAAAATTAAAGCTTTTTCAGCTTAAGTTTTATTTATTGATTCATTCTTTTTAGTTTATCAAAACGTTTTCTTGGGCCTTTTTATTATCACTTTTATATAATATGTGTTGCTTGTTGTAGTTTAAGCTTATGCTTTAATGCAATTTTGCTCAGTTTAGGTTGTTGGTTTAGTCTAGATATTGTTGCAGTTTTGATAAGTTTTTGTTGTTGGTTTAGTGTAGATATTGCTGCAATTATTTTCAGTTTTGATAACTGATATAGTGCAGTTTTTGCTGCTAATTTGTGCATTTTTTTGGTGTTGTATTAATGCAGTTTTGCTGCTAATTTGTGCATTTTTGTATCTATTTTTTAAGTCATATTTCCTCAAAAATGACTACTTTTAAAGTTATTCTTAGGTTGAATTTGGAAATATGCATATTTCTGTATCTATTCTTACTTTTTAAGTCATTTTCTCATCAATTTGGCAAAGCTGGATGATCAAATTACAAGTTTTATTGATACTTTTTTTTTGTTGCTGATTGTGAGTGTGTTGCTGATTGTGAGTGACTGCCCCTTTTTTTATTTTTTCATTGGTTGAGTTTGTACAAGTATGATGTATAGGTATAACATAATACCGTTTATTGTACATCATAATATAGATAACTATGGATTTGGGACCATTTCAGCTTTTAGAACGAATCATTGATCACAAATCTGAGTTATTTTGGACTAGATACTTGTGACTTCAAAAAAAAATAGTTGTTAAGGCTTTTAAAATGATTGTGAATTGAAATATGAGCAGCTTTTGAATGATGCACAAATTGATTGAATCTTTTTTCAATTTTTTTATTTATAGATAAAATAGCTTCCAAAAGAAAAACAAGTGAATCACTCTCTTATAAATCATTTACTACTGATTTACTTACATCCAATAAATGACCAAATTGTTGCAACTAATAGGTAATTTGTTGGACAGAAATTTAATCATTTGCTACTGATTTGCTTACGCCTAACAAATGACCTATTTGTTGCAACCAACATGTCATATGTTGCACGAAAACTCAATTAATTGTTACTAATTTACTTATGTTCAATAAATGACCTATTTGTTGCAACAAATAGGTCATTTGTTGGACGAAATCTCAATCGTTTGCTATTGTTTTACTTTCTATTATAATTTATAGATTATTTTTTAATATAAAATACTTTTATTTATAGATTGTACATCTCTGGCTAGTTCCCACAGAGCAAGAGTTGCAAATGCCATTTTTTTTAACTCTTGGAATCATTGATACAAAATCAAACCCAACAGTGGATCTGATAAAAAAAAGAATTGATTGGAGCAACAACCATCAAAAGGGAAGTACTTATTGTTCTTGGTGATGTCGATGATGTTGCAATAAATGTTGGTGTTGATGTTGATGTTAATATTGGTGATGTTGGTGCTAAAACTTGTGGTGAGCATGTTGATGATGTTGGTGATACATATGGTGGATTCACTCCTTTCAGTGGACATACCATATCTTTTGCTCTTTCTTCTAGCTCATGTTCTGCATGTAAATGTGAAGAATGCAAAAACAAAGAGGCTCAATTAATATCTATGGTGATTATGTGAAGAAGTCTCTTGATGCTCTTACTAGTGTTGTTAAGGAATTGATATCTAAGAGAGGTGTTATTCCATCAAGAAGAATTTCTGAGTCATTCACACCATGAAAAAAATCAAGAGAAGAAACAAATCAATTTCCAAGATATTATAAAATATGAAAAAGAGACAACAAATTGGAACTACTCCTCTTCCTTGTAATGTTGAGTCATCTTCAGGAGTCATAGAAGAGCAACACAAGTTGTAGAAGGTATGGGGTACTAAAGTCATATTTTGTAAGCTGAAGAACCTAATATAAATTGTAATTCATGAAGATTTGTCATATTTAGTTAATTATATTTTGTAATTGTTGATGCCAATATTTTATATTTAATAGATGTTCAGTTTTCAGTTATTTTATCACGAATTCCCTTATATTTTTAGAATTTCAAAATGTTAAATTAAATTGGTAATCTGTTGCAATAAATAATATAAATTAGATATTTGTTGTAACAAATTTCTATATTTGTTGCAACAAATGAATCATTCATTGCAACAGATAAGCATATATAGGTCATCTATTGCAAACAAATAATACATATTAGACATTTGTTGTAACAAATGGGTTATCTATCGCAACAAATAATGCACTGAGATTATAACTAAATTTATAATTGAATGGTAATTATCATTAATAACTTTATTTATCACTAATTATGGGTTAATGAAGCATTTCATATCAAAATAATCAATTGATCATTTTATTTAAAACGAATACAGATAGTTGATCAAATAATTTTTCTACAACACATTGAGAATATAATTGAACTTATTAATTAAAAGGTATTATAATTAAATAACTTTATTTATCACTAATTATAGGCTCATGAAATATATCATATCAAAATAATCAATTAATCAACTAATAATATTCGTCTTAAATAAATTCATTTACTTAAGTAGGTCTTTTGATAACCTTTTAAAGGAGAATTTCATATCATCTATGTGTTGGTGTGTTAAGTGAGAATGATTCTATTCTAGGGAGTCTATAGGATCTGTTAAGTGTGTGTGTGTGTAAGGGATTTATGGGCGGTCACTTCACAACTCACTCAAGTGAGACTTAGAGTCACCTTTAGTAGAAGAATCTTACCTTGAAGTTTATGATAGTTGTAGGTGTGTATGTGACTCATTATATGTAATATTAAGGGTCATTTAGGCATATCTAGAGGGGTTGTATGGACGGTCTCTCTTTGTGTGACATAAGTGAATCTTTGGATGACTTTTAGTGGGATAACAACATGCTAGAAGTGGTCAACAAGAAGGTAAAGTGTTTTACTGTAACAATGAATTAATTCACTGTACAGTGAATATAGCTTACTGGAAAGTGAGTTATAAAAATGTGATTTTTGGTTAAGTGTTATCTTATATGTTTCTCAGTTGTTAAATATTGTTATTTTGATTATAATATGATTATTAAATGAAAAGATGTATATTTCCAATAAAAGTCCGTTTTCATGATTTTTATGCATAATGTCATACTTAGTACATATGATTGTACTAATTCCATGCTTTTATCTATCTATATAGTTCTTGGTAGGTAAGGAGCTTTGAGAAGTGAAGAGTTGGACTTAGAAGATCGTTCAAGAGAAGTTGAAGTATGTCCTCACTTGACTCGAGGGCATATATGTCTTTTATGTTTTCATTCAAAGTATTGTAATGGACTTAGTATTCATATATTCGTATTTCGTATGGGATGAGTCCCAAGTATACTTGTGTCTTAAAATGATGAGATTGAGACTTAGTATTTCTTATTACTTTTATATGAAAGAGATTTTGAAGACAATATTATGTTTTGTGAAAGTTTTCTAAACTACTCTTCCCTGTGTTTATAAGATGAATGATGTGAAAGGTCTTGTATAAGACCTCCGAGAAGTCGAGTATGCCGGTTACAATCCGAGATTGTACCCTAACTTCTAGGGTGTGGTCTTGGTATGTGACAAGCTTGGTATCAGAGCATATGTTGGTGAAAGTAGTCTTAGTAATCGAAAAGTCTCATCAAGTCACGTCTAGTAGAGTCTTGACCGTCGGTGTGAGTCGCGACACATCTATGGACGAGAGGCTATTGGACAATAGAGTTTCCCTTATTTTTTACTCTTATGTCGTGGAGTAGAGTTAATGTTATGAATATCCTTGTTATGAGATTCCTTGTGTTTTCTAGGAGATGAATACTAGAAGGATGGTCGTTAGAAGGTTGGAAGAGGAGAGGGTGAATGAGGAGATTCGTCCTCAAGTTGAGCAAGTTTCTCAAGATGGGGAAAGGAGTTCGAGGTGCTCAATATTCCCAAGTGCCTCCCAAGGTGATCTTATTCCTAATGTGGAAGGAGGTATAAAGGTTCCAGAGATGTATAATAGGGAGATTAGAGAGGCTTTGATTGTTATAGACCGAACCGTGACTATGCAAGCTAATTTGAATATGATGCCTAGGGTTGTGAAGAGCACTATGACATCTAGGTTGAGAGATTTTGTGAGGATGAATCCTCATATCTTTCTTGTCTCTAAGGTAAATGAAGATCCCCAAGAGTTTCTTGATGGTGTGTATAAAGTTTTAAGTTCTATGGGGGTTATATCTAGGTAGAAAGTGGAGTTGGCTTCGTATCAATTGAGAGATGTTTCTCAAATATGGTATACTTAATGAAAGGATAATAGGTCAGAAGAATCGGGTCCTATTGCGTGGGAAGAATTTAAGGAAACTTTTTTTGGTATGTATTTTCTTTGAGAGAGGAGAGAAATTAAGGTGGAGGAGTTTATCAATCTCAAACTAGGTAATATGAGTGTTGAGGAGTACTTTTTGAAATTCTCAACTTTGTCAAGGTATGCCCCTTCTCTTGTGTCCAATCCAAGATATGAAATAAGTCATTTTTTGACGGGGGTGGTCAACTTAGTGGTGGAAGAATGTCGTACCGCTATGTTGCATAATGATATGAACTTAGGTAGACCCATGGTGTATGCACAATCAATTGAAGAGTCTAAACTTAGGAGTATGTCTAGAAGTTTTAAAAGGAGTGGTGCTAATGATTAATATGAAACTAGGTTTAAAAAAAAGGTTCAATCTCAAGGAGAATCTAGGAGTGCTAAGTTCAAGGTTGAGAAAGGAGGTGGTTCCGAGGATGGCAAGCCTACTTGTTCAAATTGTGGCAAGAAACATTATGGTAAGTGTGTATTGGGTACGTAAGTTGCTTTGGTTGTGGTAAGGAATGGTACAAAGTGAGAGATTGTCCTATTATTGCTACTAGAGGTAGAGAGGGTAAGCAAGTTGCTCCTAGTGTTCCAAAGGATGATG